ATACTAATTAGATACATATTGGAAGATAGCCCAATAACTATATGGACTAATAAAAAATTTGAGAGATTTAGAATGAATTTCGAAACAAGGAACTGTTTTGAATCGAACTCTATAGTTAACTACTTTTTCTAATTACGTTATTATAATTCCCAAACTGTTAAATTCATATTTTAAATAAACAGTTTTGTACCAACTCGAAACCAAGAACTCCATAATTTTTCTTGTATTACTCTTGTATTTGTTTCCGAGATTCGCCTGAACTGAACTAAAACTGAACAAAAACTGAATTAGAACTGAACTGAACTAGAACTGAACTGAACTGAACTGAACTGAACTAGAACAGAACTAGAACAGAACTAGAACAGAAGTAGAATTGAACTAGAACTGAACTAGAACTGAACTAGAACTGAACTAGAACTGAACTAGAACTGAACTAGAACTGAACTAGAACTGAACTAGAACTGAACTAGAACTGAACTAGAACTAGAACTGAGCTAGAACTGAACTAGAACTGAACGAGAACTGAACTAGAACTGAACTAGAACTGAACTAGAACTGAACTAGAACTGAACTAGAACTGAACGAGAACTGAACTAGAACTGAACTAGAACTGAACTAGAACTGAACTAGAACTGAACTAGAACTGAACTAGAACTGAACTAGAACTGAACTAGAACTGAACTAGAACTGAACTAGAACTGAACTAGAACTGAACTAGAACTGAACTAGAACTGAACTTGAACTGAACTAAAACTGAACTAGAACTGAAGTAGAACTAAACTAGAGCTGAACTAGAGCTGAACTAGAACTGAACTAGAACAGAACTAGAACAGACCTAGGAACAGAACTAGAACAGAACTAGAACAGAACTAGAACAGAACTAGAACAGAACTAGAACAGACCTAGAACAGAACTAGAACAGAACTAGAACAGAACTAGAACACAGAACAGAACACGAACAGAACAGAACTAGAACTAGAACAGAACTAGAACAGAACAGAACAGAACTAGAACAGAACAGAACTAGAACAGAACTAGAAACAGAACTAGAACAGAACTAGAACAGAACTAGAACAGAACTAGAAGCAGAACTAGAACTAGAACAGAAACTAGAACAGAACTAGAACAGAACTAGAACAGAACTAGAACAGAACTAGAACAGAACTAGAACAGAACTAGAACAGAACTAGAACAGAACTAGAACAGAACTAGAACAGAACTAGAACAGAACTAGAACAGAACTTAGAACCGAACTAGAACATTGACACTTAGAACAGACACTAGAACAGAACTAGAACAGAACTAGAACTAGAACAGAACTAGAACAGAACTAGAACAGAACTAGAACAGAACTAGAACAGAACTAGAACTAGAACAGAACTAGAACAGAACAGAACTAGAACAGAACTAGAACAGAACTAGAACAGAACTAGAACAGAACTAGAACAGAACTAGAACAGAACTAGAACAGAACTAGAACAGAACTAGAACAGAACTAGAACAGAACTAGAACAGAACTAGAACAGAACTAGAACAGAACTAGAACAGAACTAGAACAGAACTAGAACAGAACTAGAACAGAACTAGAACAGAACTAGAACAGAACAGAACTAGAACAGAACTAGAACAGAACAGAACAGAACTAGAACAGAACTAGAACAGAACTAGAACAGAACTAGAACAGAACTAGAACAGAACTAGAACAGAACTAGAACAGAACTAGAACAGAACTAGAACAGAACTAGAACAGAACTAGAACAGAACTAGAACAGAACTAGACTAGAACAGAACTAGAACAGAACTAGAACAGAACTAGAACAGAACTAGAACAGAACTAGAACAGAACTAGAACAGAACTAGAACAGAACTAGAACAGAACTAGAACAGAACTAGAACAGAACTAGAACAGAACTAGAACAGAACTAGAACAGAACTAGAACAGAACTAGAACAGAACTAGAACAGAACTAGAACAGAACTAGAACAGAACTAGAACAGAACTGGAACTGAACTAGAACTGTACTAGAACTTAACTAGAACTGAACTAGAACTGAACCAGAACTGAACTAGAACTAAACTAGAACTGATCTAGAACTGAACTAGAACTGAACTAGAACTGAACTAGAACTGAACTAGAACTGAAATAGAAACAAATTTAGATCAAAAAAGTATGTCGACCCTATTGCCTGATAACGAATCGATTCCAGAGCCGGACAATTACACAGAAGATGAGTAATTGTTTCCTCCTCTTCCTCATTTTGACAGCTCCTACAAAAGTCATTATATGGAAGACCAATGCGTGTTGCATGGTTTCCGAACTTGAAATGACCCGTAAGAACTGATAACAAAGTGCTCAGAGTAATTCAGCTTAGCCCTAAAATATAGGATGTTTTATGAGGATCCATATAAGGCCATAGCATCTTAGCAATCGAGCAAGTATGTTCTTAAGACCACCGGTCTTGAGCTGAACTAAAACAAAAGTTGTGTATTTGTTTCTTAATAGCCGCTAGGGGGACGCCGCAGTACTGGTCTATATCCAGTGTGGCCATACTCATGCCCGCTTTTGCCAAGATGTCAGCAATAGAATTGTCAATTATATCCCCGTGTCCTTTGACCCAAAAGAGGGTAATTCTTAAATGTCTCGCCATCTCGTTGACGAGACGCCCGGCATTCTTGGACAAGTTTAGATGCAGAATATACACCTATCAGGGATTTTATAGCGGCTTGGCTGTCAGTATAGATTCTGATATCCCTGCTGAATAACCGATAGTACCTAAGCCAATTAGATGCCCTTCATCATTGAGTCGGAAAGAGATTTTCGTTCCAAATTCTTCAATGAAGATGCCACCGCCGACACCTTTAGTTGTTTTAGAACTATCTGTATACACATTTAGTCCATCAATACCAAAATGTGAAGGTACATTATAATCAGAGATTATACTATCTCGTAATACACGGTTCCGGAATACAGTAGTCAGAAGCATGTTGTAGATTTGGGAGAAGATCTACAATCTTTGCATGACCAGTTGAATGCTTAAGTATTTAAAAAAAAATTACAAAACACCAAAAGCCTAATTTAAGTTGAATGCTTAAGTATTTCAAAAATTTACAAAACACCAAAAGCCTAATTTATGATTTAAAATATTTTTGTACCATTTTACTTAATTAAAATTTTAAATTTGCTAACACAAAATTTCCCTTTGATACCATTTTAAATTATAAAATTTCTAAAATCCCAATTTTATTTTAAAAATTTTAACATTTAAACAAAGAAGAAGTAAGAGTGTTATATTCGGCTATGCCGAATCTTATATACCCACCATCAAACCTCGTTTGACTCGAATGAAACTTACTTACGTCGAATTTCATCTATATACTCGTATATTTAGGCCAGTTATAAGCGTTAAAGTAATTTTCTAGTCATTTTCTGAAGGGGACCTTATATGGGGGGTAGGGTCAATTATGGACCGATCCTGATAAAATTTTGCATAGTGATTTTGGATCATAAGAAACTTACTTATATCGAATTTTATCGCTATATTCGTATTTTTAAACAAGTTATGGCTGTTAAAGCTGCTTTTCGAGGGGCCACTTGTATGGGGGCTATCCGAAAACGTGGACCGATATTGCCCATTTCCAATACCAAACAAACCTTACCTATAAGAAATATTTATGTGAAATTTCAACCCTCTAGCTCTTTCCATTCGGACTCTATCGTGCTTTCAACAGACAGGCGGACAGACGGACAGACATGGCTAGATCATCTTAGAATTTAATGAGGACCCAGAATATATATACTTTTGTGGGTCTATGACCAATATTTCGATGTGTTACAAACGGAATGACAAAATCAATATACCCCACATCTTTTTTGATGGTGGGTATAAAAAACTTTTTACGACTTGCAGCAAAATTGCCAAATCTATGCATCATGTGCTAATATTAGCAAGAACAATGGACTTCAGTTTTAAGCAAAATGTCTGTATTTAGTCGAAAGTCATAAAATATCGGTAGTTTACACTTAAAGCAAAACGTAAGAGAAAAACAAAACAAAACCTCTATTATTAAAATTATATTTTCTTTACGTTTTTTTGTTCCTTTGTGGCAAATTACGTGTTCTAGAGCATTTTATATACGGAATATTATAGTTGGAGCAGGTAATTTTTGTTTAGCAAAATCCACACAACTAACTAACGATTTTGGTTTAACATTTGAAATCCTTTCGGTAATAAAATTAAGAAATAAGCCAAAAATATATACAACAAATACCTAAAAAAACAAACGAAAAAATAACAATAAAAACTTGTTAAAATGGAAAAAGTCATAAAACAAAGTTTATTTTTACTACCGTTTGGAGTTCTACTTTATTTTTGCTTCATTATGTTCGTAGAAAAAAAAAACAATGGAAAAAATATACGAAAAATACCAACAATTGTTAATTTTTTAACGAGAAAATCTGTTGTGGACATTTTTTGATTTTTTTTATATGTATTTTATTGTATATATAAATAGCTATTAAGTCTGGCCAAATCCGATTAACACTTGATGACAAAAAGTATTAAAAAAATGTTGGTTTTATATAAAAATGTATAGGATTCAGCGCGACAAATATTTAGTTTTTAATTATACAAAGGAATTATTACATACAACTATATTTGTTGGTAGTGTTAATAAATTGTGTTGAAATGAAAAGAAATAACTGAAATAGTTTTATTTCAATTCCCAAATGATACAACTTTCAATACGACAATAGCTGTTGATTGAAATTTAAGAGAACATTCGTTACATTTACAGTAATTTTAGATTATTTCCCAAGATTAAAAAGTGTTTTCAGTTTTTTAAAACAATTTAAAATAATTTGTTGTATTCTTAAGAATTTTATTTTAAAAAGTTTTTTTTTTAGCAAAACATTTCTTGTAACAAATCAAACTAATATATATTTTCTTTATTTTTACAAAATCAAAAAACCCTTCTACATCCCCACTCATCCCAACAATACAGCTACCGAACAATTAAATCAACTAACACAAACCTACTATAATTATCAACGTTATGGCACCCTACCGCCAGCATATTGGGCTTATCCATCCATACAATTGGGTCGAACCATTTGGACTGAATTACCAACTCCCCATTTTGCTGCCATTATACCACCACATTCAGCACCAACACCCGAAGAACCTCTAACCCTAAGTCGAGCATCAACGAGTCCGTCCAAAATCAGTCGATCGGGTAGTAGTAGTATATGTGGTGAATCGATAACGGCTACCTCAACACCAACGCCAACAACAACAACCACACCAGCCGCTGGAGTTATAGCCGCAGCAGCAGCAGCGGCAGCTGCCGCCGCAGCTACGTAGCAATATCAACAGGGCAGTGATGTAAATAATACAACAGCAGCTGCTGTAGCAGCGGCGGCAGCTACAGCCGTTTTACATGTGTAAGTATTTGTAAAAAAAAAATACACTTTTTTAATCTTGATCATTTTATTTTATTAGTTTTTTCCTTATATTTACATAATTATTAAAATGTAAGTAGCCAGCTAGCACCTTTATAAATTAATTTGTTAATTATGTCTGGCGTTACCGGTATTTTTATAATTTATATTTTATTTATAATTATGTGAAATTTATACAAAACTATTTTTATTCAATTTGTCTTCATTGTTCATTTGAATTCTGTGGGGCTGGATGTTTGTATTAGCAGCTACGTCTCATTAGGTATTCAACACCAGTTGAAACAGTTGTGAAAAAGTATGATATCGTACATTTTCGTGCACAATTTAACATTGAGTGCGTAATGGCAGTAGCGTGTTGTTTATATTCTTTAAAGAGGATTTACTGCCGTCAAGTCCACTTTAAGTGAAAAACCTTACCCTTCCCCATTTTTGGAATAAACACCAGATTCATAATTGTATTAGTTTCCAAATTCCAAACTTAAACGTCCTTAATTACTTTTATTTAATTTTAAACTGAAAGCTAGAACTGAACTAGAACTGAACTAGAACTGAACTGAACTGAACTAGAACTGAACGACTGAACTGAAACTGAACTAGAACTGAACTAGAACTGAACTAGAACTGAACTAGAACTGAACTAGAACTGAACTAGAACTGAACTAGAACTGACTAGAACTGAACTAGAACTGAACTAGAACTGAACTAACTAGAACTGACGAACTAGAACTGAACTAGAACTGAACTAGAACTGAACTAGAACTGAACTAGAAACTGAACTAGAACTGAACTAGAACTGAACTAGAACTGAACTAGAACTGAACTAGAACTGAACTAGAACTGAACTAGAACTGAACTAGAACTGAACTAGAACTGAAACTAGAACTGAACTAGAACTGAACTAGAAACTGAACTAGAACTGAACTAGAACTGAACTAGAACTGAACTAGAACTGAACTAGAACTGAACTAGAACTGAACTAGAAACTGAACTAGAACTGAACTAGAACTGAACTAGAACTGAACTAGAACTGAACTAGAACTGAACTAGAACTGAAACTAGAACTGAACTAGAACTGAACTAGAACTGAACTAGAACTGAACTAGAACTGAACTAGAACTGAACTAGAACTGAACTAGAACTGAACTAGAACTGAACTAGAACTGAACTAGAACTGAACTAGAACTGAACTAGAACTGAACTAGAACTGAACTAGAACTGAACTAGAACTGAACTAGAACTGAACTAGAACTGAACTAGAACTGAACTAGAACTGAACTAGAACTGAACTAGAACTGAACTAGAACTGAACTAGAACTGAACTAGAACTGAACTAGAACTGAACTAGAACTGAACTAGAACTGAACTAGAACTGAACTAGAACTGAACTAGAACTGAACTAGATAGAACTGAACTAGAACTGAACTAGAACTGAACTAGAACTGAACTAGAACTGAACTAGAACTGAACTAGAACTGAAACTAGAACTGAACTAGAACTGAACTAGAACTGAACTAAGAACTGAACTAGTACTGAACTAGAACTGAACTAGAACTGAACTAGAACTGAACTAGAACTGAACTAGAACTGAACTGAACTGAACTAGAACTGAACTAGAGAACTGAACTGAACTGAACTAGAAACTGAACTAGAACTGAACTAGAACTGAACTAGAACTGAACTAGAACTGAGCCTAGAACTGAACTAGAACTGAACTAGAACTGAACTAAACGAACTAGAACTGAACTAGAACTGAACTAGAACTGAACTAGAACTGAACTAGAACTGAACTAGAACTGAACTAGAACTGAACTAGAACTGAACTAGAACTGAACTAGAACTGACTAGAACTGAACTAGAACTGAAACTAGAACTGAACTAGAACTGAACTAGAACTGAACTAGAACTGAACTAGAACTGAACTAGAACTGAACTAGAACTGAACTAGAACTGAACTAGAACTGAACTAGAACTGAACTAGAACTGAACTAGAACTGAACTAGAACTAGAACTGAACTAGAACTGAACTAGAACTGAACTAACGAACTGAACTAGAACTGAACTAGAACTGAACTAGAACTGAACTAGAACTGAACTAGAACTGAACTAGAACTGAACTAGAACTGAACTAGAACTGAACTAGAACTGAACTAGAACTGAACTAGAACTGAACTAGAACTGAACTAGAACTGAACTAGAACTGAACTAGAACTGAACTAGAACTGAACTAGAACGAACTAGAACTGAACTAGAACTGAACTAGAACTGAACTAGAACTGAACTAGAACTGAACTAGAACTGAACTAGAACTGAAACTAGAACTGAACTAGAACTGAACTAGAACTGAACTAGAACTGAACTAGAACTGAACTAGAACTGAACTAGAACTGAACTAGAACTGAACTAGAACTGAACTAGAACTGAACTAGAACTGAACTAGAACTGAACTAGAACTGAACTAGAACTGAACTAGAACTGAACTAGAACTGAACTAGAACTGAACTAGAACTGAACTAGAACTGAACTAGAACTGAACTAGAACTGAACTAGAACTGAACTAGAACTGAACTAGAACTGAACTAGAACTGAACTAGAACTGAACTAGAACTGAACTAGAACTGAACTAGAACTGAACTAGAACTGAACTAGAACTGAACTAGAACTGAACTAGAACTGAACTAGAACTGAACTAGAACTGAACTAGAACTGAACTAGAACTGAACTAGAACTGAACTAGAACTGAACTAGAACTGAACTAGAACTGAACTAGAACTGAACTAGAACTGAACTAGAACTGAACTAGAACTGAACTAGAACTGAACTAGAACTGAACTAGAACTGAACTAGAACTGAACTAGAACTGAACTAGAACTGAACTAGAACTGAACTCGAACTGAACTAGAACTGAACTAGAACTAGAACTGAACTATAACTGAACTAGAACTAGACTAGAACCGAACTAGAACTGGAAAAGCAATTAATTTGAGCTCCGAATCATTACCTGCGATGAAAAATCGATCAATTACGATTACCCGAATCGTAAAAGATCGCATTTGAAAGCCTTGCCAACGAGCCAAAAAGACACCAAATCTAAAATCTGCCCAGACTATCACAGAGAACCTGTACTGAATATAATTGATTTATGTTCTTAGTGAATATCTTTTATCTTTCGCGATAAAAAATAATTGACTGCAAGAGAAGAGAATTGGCTCAAGAGAGAATAAAGAGTACATAGTATGTATATAATCATATTTGGTGTAGGATGTTCTATGATCGACCATTACCAAATATAATTTCTCAGGTATTGTTTTGAATACATATAAAAACCTACATAGTTGTAGTTTGGTTTGTATTTAGTTCTTGCAACATATAATGTAGTTTTCTTGTTAAATTTTATATTTAAATAGCTTACAATTTTTTAATTTCGTTTTTGTTTTTATATCTTCACATTTATTTATTTAAACCATAAAATTTATATTTGATTTCAAACTTGTTTTAATCACCTGTCCGACTGTATTGTATGTTGGTTGGTTGGTTGTTCTTCTTTTAAGTATTTCATGGATGGTACTTTTAGGTCTTCTGTTCGTTCTTTTTTTTCACTTCATCCTTTAACATTTTAAGTGCTTTTCTTATGTTTTTGTTGCTGTTCATGCGTCTTACAAGCTTAAGTTTTATTTTCATTTGTAATTTTATTTTTATTAGTCCAACTCAAACTCATTTCATTTCATTTACAATATTTGGCAGACGCACATTATATAGAAAGAAAACTTAGTGAACATTTGTTGTTAGTATTGCTTTTGGTGGTGGTTCCTCAGGTGCATTGAATTTCAGTTTATGGCCCCAAAATGAATTTAATCGTTATGACCAACTATTATAATGGCTAAGAAACCAGCCCACATGCTTAAGATCCATAAATCCCTCAGAGAAGAGATAAGAAAAAGAATAAAATATTTATAGTTTGTTGCAAGTATTTGTGTGCTGCAACGCATCTAGCCAATTGTTATAATTTTATATTGCAGTTTCAATTGCAATTAAATTTTTTTGAAAAAAAAAAAAAAAAACGCACTAAATTGCGTTTGTTTGTTTAAAACTTTGCAAGAGTTGTATAATTGTAAAAAACTAACTATAAGATACTAAAGTCGTTAAAAATCTAAACAAGCTGAACTTTTATTGCTATTTTTTTTAGAGATGCACAACATTTTAATGTAAAAAGTTGTAAAATTTAATAAAAAAAATTAATATTTTTAATTAGACTCACTAACAAGCACTGAAATTTCATAAATAGTTCTAAATAGACTGTAAAAGTGTGATTATAATATATTAAGCACAAATTAAAACTGTAAATTATCAACCGTATGTTGAGTCGAAAATTAACTAAACTTTAAATCTAACAACTTGCTTCATAACGTTAGAATAAAAAAAAAGAATTCGAGACTAAATACCACTGGGAACCTAACAAAGCCGAGCGTTTGACATCATAGATTTCGCTCCAAAAATTAAGCCTATTTGGACACCCTGTTTTAAAAAGTATTTCACGATCTAGACTCAAAGAAAGTTGAACTAGAACTGAACTAGAACTGAACTAGAACTGAACTAGAACTGAACTAGAACTGAACTAGAACTGAACTAGAACTGAACTAGAACTGAACTAGAACTGAACTAGAACTGAACTAGAACTGAACTAGAACTGAACTAGAACTGAACTAGAACTGAACTAGAACTGAACTAGAACTGAACTAGAACTGAACTAGAACTGAACTAGAACTGAACTAGAACTAACCTAGAACTGAACAGAACTGAACTAGAACTGAAGTAGAACTGAACTAGAACTGAACTAGAACTGAACTAGAACTGAACTAGAACTGAACTAGAACTGAACTAGAACTGAACTAGAACTGAACTAGAACGGAACTAGAACTGAACTAGAAGCTGAACTGCAACTGAACTAGAACTGAACTAGAACTGAACTAGAACTGAATCTAGAA